TCCTGTATTATGTCCACAGTCTCTGACCATCTCTTGGGTCACATCTGCAGTCTCCGACCATCTCCTGTATTATGTCCACAGTCTCTGACCATCTCTTGTTTCACATCCAGGGGCAGACTGACAACTCATGGCCCCCCGGGGTCACTGTGTCCTTGCCCACACTCAAAAAAGCCTATAAAAAAGGTACCAGGGGCATTTCATGGGGGACCCTACTGACCCCGGGCCCTCGGGCAGTGCCCAAGTGCTCGAATGGTCAGTTTGCCCCTGGTCACATCTGCAGTCTCTGACCATCTCCTGTATGATGTCCACAGTCTCTGACCATCTCTTGTGTCACATCTGCAGTTCTGACCATCTCTTGTATTATGTCCACAGTCTCTGACCATCTCCTGTATTATGTCCACAGTCTCTGTCAATCTCCTTCAGCATGTCCACAGTCTCTGTCAATCTCCTTCAGCATGTCCACAGTCTCTGTCAATCTCCTTCAGCATGTCCACAGTCTCTGGCAGTCTCCTTCAGCATGTCCACAGTCTCTGTAAATCTCCTTCAGCATGTCCACAGTCTCTGGTAGTCTCTTTCACCATGTCCACAGTCTCTGGCAATCTCCTTCAGCATGTCCACAGTCTCTGGTAGTCTATTTCAGCATGTCCACAGTCTCTTGCAATCTCCTTCAGCATGTCCACAGTCTCTGTCAATCTCCTTCAGCATGTCCACAGTCTCTGGTAGTCTATTTCAGCATGTCCACAGTCTCTTGCAATCTCCTTCAGCATGTCCACAGTCTCTGTCAATCTCCTTCAGCATGTCCACAGTCTCTGCCTATCTCCTTCAGCATGTCCACAGTCTCTGCCTATCTCCTTCAGCATGTCCACAGTCTCTGCCTATCTCCTTCAGCATGTCCACAGTCTCTGTCAATCTCCTTCAGCATGTCCACAGTCTCTGCCTATCTCCTTCAGCATGTCCACAGTCTCTGTCAATCTCCTTCAGCATGTCCACAGTCTCTGGTAGTCTCTTTCAGCATGTCCACAGTCTCTGGCAATCTCCTTCAGCATGTCCACAGTCTCTGGCAATCTCCTTCAGCATGTCCACAGTCTCTGGCAATCTCCTTCAGCATGTCCACAGTCTCTGACCATCTCCTTCAGCATGTCCACAGTCTCTGACCATCTCTTGTGTCCCATCTGCAGTCTCTGACCATCTCCTGTATTATGTCCACGTCTCTGACCATCTCTTGTGTCACATCTGCAGTCTCTGACCATCTCCTGTATGATGTCCACAGTCTCTGACCATCTCTTGGGTCACATCTGCAGTCTCCGACCATCTCCTGTATGATGTCCACAGTCTCTGACCATCTCTTGTGTCACATCTGCAATCTCCGACCATCTTCGGTATGATGTCCACAGTCTCTGACCATCTCTTGGGTCACATCTGCAGTCTCTGACCATCTCCTGTATTATGTCCACAGTCTCTGACCATCTCTTGTTTCACATCCAGGGGCAGACTGACAACTCATGGGGCCCCCCGGGCAATAGGGGATCATGGGGCCCCTGTGTCCTTGCCCACACTCAAAAAATCCTTTAAAAAAGGTACCAGGGGCATTTCATGGGGATCCCTACTGACCCCGGGCCCTCGGGCAGTGCCCGAGTGCTCGAATGGTCAGTCCGCCCCTGGTCACATCTGCAGTCTCTGACCATCTCCTGTATTATGTCCACAGTCTCTGACCATCTCTTGTGTCACATCTGCAGTCTCTGACCATATCCTGTATTATGTCCACAGTCTCTGACCATCTCCTGTATTATGTCCACAGTCTCTGACCATCTCCTGTATTGTGTCTGCAGTCTCTGACCATCTCCTGTATTATGTCCACAGTCTCTGACCATCTCCTGTATTGTGTCTGCAGTCTCTGACCATCTCCTGTATTATGTCCACAGTCTCTGACCATCTCCTGTATTGTGTCTGCAGTCTCTGACCATCTCCTGTATTATGTCCACAGTCTCTGACCATCTCCTGTATTATGTCCACAGTCTCTGACCATCTCCTGTATTATGTCCACAGTCTGTGACCATCTCTTGTGTCACGTCCATGGTCTTTGGCTTTATCCTGTTGAGATCACCAAAGGGATAGAGAACACACAAGGGCTGCACTTAACCCCCCCCCCCCTCATGTCAAGAAAGTCGACCACCACTGATTTATAGTAAGATAGAGAGCAAACTTCCTGAACATGATATCATTTGATCTATTTTTGATACATTTTACCAACTTTTCAGCTGTCTACATTCCACTGCTTCAAACAGCTTTCCATGTCAGTGCTTTATACATAGGTGAAGAAACAGCCAGAATGTTATCTAGAGACGTAATAAGAAATGAAACTAGAAGGCATTTTTTACCCTCACAACTTTTGTCGCTTTAAGGTGCCCTATTTATAGCAGATTGGACGCAGAGTCACTCACCTGTCACTGTCTGACACATGCCCTGCAGCCCGCTCCTCTCCTGTCTCAGCCCTGGCAATGCCTTTGCAGACCTCCTATGAGCGTCCTGGGACCCGGAGAAGGACTTGAGAGATCCCGGAGTGTATATACGCACCGGCAGCAGATGGAGGGCGACCGGGGGGAATAAACTTCTGTTTGTGAACGTCTGCGAGGGCCCCAGAGGCACAGGAAGGAAGAGGAGGGCAGGACAGCGACCGATCACATGCAGAAATTATAAATATCTCAACCCTGATTCATTAACAAAAAAAAAAAAATTCTCTGGAAGGGGTGTGATGGATGGCGCGGCTGTCAGCTCCAGCCTGATTTTATGCCATACATTTGACGTCATCCATCTTTCCTGGAATATTATCCCGGTTCAGGACTTTGCTGTGCACTGACAGTACGGAGCAGTATCAGTTCTTCCTCTGGATGTACAGACAGCCAGAATGCTCAAGTCCTGTAGTCACACTCCTCTGTCTGCCCACCGGTTGTCATTCGGGGGGGTTTGTTTATAAACGTCACACATTTCTTTGGTGGGAAATAACAAGATATGAGCGGAGTGACTGAACCAAAATTGGTTTTGCTGCAAAATTACTGATAGTCTTACCAAAATTAGCCTCAAATTTTGCCATGAAGATGGTTTATTACAAGCAATTGTCAATCACGTGGCTTTGTTTATAAAAATTTTTTTTTAAAAAAGGGCTACCATTTGGGTTAACCATTTCAATACCGGGCAATTTTACACCTTCCTGCCCAGTCCATTTTTCAGGTTTCAGCGCTCTCACACTTTGAATGACAATTGCGCGGTCATACAACATTGTACCCAAATTAAAATGTTATCATTTTCTTCACACAACTAGAGCTTTCTTTTGGTGGTATTTAATCACCGCCGGGGTTTTTATTTTTTGCTAAATTAACAAAAAAAAGACCAAAAATTTTGAAAAAAAAACACGTTTTTCTTTGTTTCTGTTATAAAAGTTTACAAATAAATAATTGTTCTTCATAAATTTAGGCCGAGATGTATTCTGCTCCATGTCTTTGGTGAAAATAACCCAAATTAGGATGTATTATTTAGTTTGTAGGAAAGTTATAGAGTTCACAAACTATGGTATAGATCTGAATATTGATCAATCCTGAAGTACTGACAGCCAATCTAATTTCTTGAGGTCCAAGAATGTCAGAACAGTACAGATATCCCCCAAATGTCAGAACAGAACAGATATCCCCAAATGTCAGAACAGTACAGATATCCCCCAAATGTCAGAACAGTACAGATATCCCCCAAATGTCAGGACAGTACAGATATCCCCCAAATGTCAGGACAGTACAGATATCCCCAAATGTCAGAACAGTACAGATATCCCCCAAATGTCAGAACAGTACAGATATCCCCCAAATGTCAGGACAGTACAGATATCCCCCAAATGTCATAACAGTACAGATATCCCCCAAATGTCAGGACAGGACAGATATCCCCCAAATGTCAGAACAGTACAGATACCCCCCAAATGTCAGGACAGTACAGATATCCCCCAAATGTCAGGACGGTACAGATATCTCCCAAATGTCAGGACGGTACAGATATCCCCAAATGTCAGGACGGTACAGATATCCCCCAAATGGCAGGACAGTACAGATATCCCCCAAATGTCAGGACAGTACAGATACCCCCCAAATGTCAGAACAGTACAGATATCCCCCAAATGTCAGAATAGTACAGAATCCCCCAAATGTCAGGACAGTACAGATATCCCCCAAATGTCAGGACAGTACAGATATCCCCCAAATGTCAGAACAGTACAGATATCCCCCAAATGTCATGACGGTACAGATATCCCCAAATGACCCCTTTTTGCAGAGTAGACAGTCCGACGTACTTCATAAGAGGAATGGCGAGTTTTTTGAAGTTGTATTTTTTTTGTCATAATTTTTCGGAAAATTAAAAAATTAAAAAAATTATTTTCACTATTTTTTTTTTTACATACTGTCACCAGTGCAGTACAGCGTCATCATATAACTGGCATGGCGGTGATCAGGGACACTGACTGGTGACAGTATGAAAAAAAAAAATATATATACCGTATTTTCCGGCGTATAAGACGACTTTTCAACCCATGAAAATCTTCTGAAAAGTCGGGGGTCGTCTTATACGCCGGTATACGGCGAGCCGGTGTCAGGGCGGCACTTTTTCGAGGGGCAGGGGTGTACAGGGGTGGGCAGAGGAGCTGCTGTACCTTACCTGGCTCCGTGGTCCCGGTCCCACGACGATCCGGTCCAGGAAGCGCGGCTGCTCCTTCTTTCAGTTCGGCCGCTCGATGGTCGTGCGGCCGCTCGGCCGCTCGGCTCCACCTCCTCACCGGTGATTGGGCGCCAGCACTGGAAAGGCACACAGGCAACCAATCACCGGCGAGGAGGCGGAGCCGAGCGGCCCCCGCGAAAATCGAGCGGCCCCGAACTTAAAGAAGGAGCAGCCGCTCCTCTCCCCCACTGACACTAACGATGAGGCACTATTCCTCCCCCACTGAGACCAACGATGGGGCACTATTCTCCCCACTGATACCAATGATGGGGCACTATTCCTCCCACTGACACCAACGATGGGGCACTATTCTCCCCACTGATACCAACGATAGGGCACTATTCCTCCCACTGACACCAATGATGGGGCACTATTCCTACCACTGATACCAACGATGGGGCGCAATTCCTCCCACTGACACCAATGATGGGGCACTATTCTCCCCACTGATACCAACGATGGGGCGCAATTCCTCCCACTGACACCAATGATGGGGCGCAATTCCTGCCACTGATACCAATGATGGGGCGCTATTCCTCCCACTGACACCAATGATGGGGCGCTATTCCTCCCACTGACACCAATGATGGAGCACTATTCCTCCCACTGACACTAATGATGGGACACTATTCCTCCCACTGACACCAATGATGGGGCACTATTCCTCCCACTGATACCAATGATGGGGCACTATTCCTCCCACTGATACCAATGATGGGGCACGATTCTTCCCACTGACACCAATGATGGGGCACTATTCCTCCCACTGACTAATGATGGGGCACTATTCCTCCCACTGACTAATGATGGGGCACGATTCTTCCCACTGACACCAATGATGGGGCACTATTCCTCCCACTGACACCAATGATGGGGCACTATTCCTCCCACTGACTAATGATGGGACACTATTCCTCACACACTGACACTAATGATGGGGCACCATCATTGGTGTCAGTGGGAGGAATAGTGTCCCATCATTGGTATCAGTGGGAGGAATAGTGCCCCATCATTGGTGTCAGTGGGAGGAATAGTGCCCCATCATTGGTATCAGTGGGAGGAATAGTGCCCCATCATTGGTGTCAGTGGGAGGAATAGTGTCCCATCATTGGTGTCAGTGGGAGGAATAGCACCCCATCATTGGAATACCATACTGAAATAGCATACCATATTGAAATCAAATCTGATGTTTTTTCATTTTTATTTGGTGTGTGTTGGAAGAGGGGTAGTCTTATACGGCGAGTATAGCTCAAACCCTATATTTTAACAGGAAAAGTAGGGGGTCGTCTTATACGCCCCAGTCGTCTTATACGCCGGAAAATACATATTTTTTTATTATTTTTAATTTTTTATTACATTTTTATTACATTTTTTTACATTTTTTTAAGATTTTTTTTCATATTTTACTATGACCAAAGTAGTACAATGTTACCATAGTAACATTGTACTACTTTGGGGAAGGGAAGTGATCAGTATTTTGTTTTGTTTTTTTTTTTTACACAATTTGCTTATAGCAAGGAATTACTTTGCTATAAGCAAGCATTTACCTGAATGAAATCGATTCATTCAGGTTTTTTTTTTTTTTTTTGTGCTTAGCTGTGATTTGGTCACAGCTAATCACATGACATGTGCATGTGATTAGCTGTGACCATTCACAGCTAGACACTAGTATACAATGGATGGCATGAATGAAGCCATCCATTGTATACAACTGTCCTGTGACCTGCTGTGATTGGTCACAGCAGGTCACATGGTACCGGCAACGGGGGCCGGTACTCAGATCTGTCATCGGCCGTGTCCGAGGTGCACGGCCGGTGACAGATCGCGCCGCTGCGCGGCTCTGCATTAGCGCAAACTGCGCATGTGCGGGAGGACGCCAAATGGCGTGCACCCGGAATGCCGAAGCACTTTTGAAGCCGTCAAACGGCCATTGGCCGGGCGGCTAATGGTTAAGGAAAAAGTTAAACTCACTCTAGGAATAATTTTTTTTTGTATATCTATGGTCACAATATAAAATTATATCTGCATTTCCACATTGTACGAGGTGTGACAATTTAATTTCCGGAATGCCCGTGGTGTTGCCTTGTGGTGCAATCACACAGCCATTTGCATTCGAGTGTCTCCTGACCTCTCCTAAGGCCTGCCAAACATTATACAATTTTCTTGAGATTTTTGGTTTAGATTTACCAAAATCCATATAATATGAGGTCAAACCTAACAACACTTTCAATTGTATCCAATTAGGTGGGCTCTTGCACTACATGAAGGTAAATCTAAAGGAAATTGGGCAAAAATTGGACAGAAAATTGTATAGTGTATGGCCAGCATAACCTGTACTCACCTTGGTTGCAGACCATCTGACTCAGTTTTAGGCTGGCCATACATTATACAATTTTCTTGAGAATTTTGCTTTAGATTTACCAAAAACCATATAATATGATATAAAACAACACTTTCAATTGTATCCAATTAGGCAGATCCTTGCACTACATAGTTGAAGGCAAATCTAAAGTGGCTTTTCATCTGAGGAAGATTCGTTTGTTTATTTACACAGCATTGCATGTAAGAATTGGATTGCTATATATTGCCCAGAGCAAAAAGTGTTTGTTGTTAGTCCAATTATTCGTTCAGTTTTGAGCTCTGGTGAGTGATTTAAGATCATTTTTTTGGTGGTGGTTCCAACACAGTGTGGACATTATTTGAAAGACTTTTTTGAACATTATTTATGGACACCTTTTCATAATTTTTTTTTTTTTTTTTATAATTTTCATATTTATTTTGTATTTATTTAATTAGCTCATTCCTTTTATTTATTTGTTTAAGCAAAAAATTAATTTGTGATTTTTTGAGTTGGGAATTTGCTGCTTTGGAGTTTTGGGGTGTGGCGCTTTTCTTAAAACACTCAAATCTAAAGGAAATTGGGAAGAAAATGAACAGAAAATTGTATAGTGTATGGCCAGCCTTAAGCAGCCCATAGACAGGTCAAAAACCGTCCGTTTAAAAAAAAAAAAAAAGAAAAATCGTTAGTTCAATCGGCCGACGTTACCACCAACGGTAAAAAAAAAAAATTGGCCAATTTTTGTCCTGTCTAGAGCCGGAATTTAACACCATAATTACTTCTGCCCCTTGCAGAGACGGGAGCACACAGGGGAGCAATACATAAGAATAATGAGAAGAAGAAAAAGAAGACGAATTCCAGTCCGCTATTATATTTTATATGAAAAGTCTTGCGGTTGCAACAAATGTATCAATTTGTATCCATTTTGGATACAGATGTTTTTATTCAGATACAAATGGATACATTGTTGCAACTGCAAGACTTTTCATATGAAATATTATAGCGGATTGGAATTCTTCTTCTTTTTTTTTTCTCACAGGGAGTACATGCAAACTCTAGGCAGGTGGTGCCAGGGTTGGGATTCAAACCAGCAACACTAGTACTGCCAGGCGGAAGTGCTAACCATTTAGCCACTGTGCTGCAAAGAATGTGTTCACTGGTTCCAGCTGTACCCTTCCTCTTCAAGTGGTACTGAACTGCCCCCCAACCCCCATGTTTTTTCTCCCACTTACCTGTAGTGCATTAATGCTCATCCAAGCACATACTCACCCGCACAACGAATCCAGCATTTTCAAGTGAAGTTGCACGATTTCAAAGGTGGTTTCAGTGTGAACCGGGGCTTATAGCTTTAGGCCCCTTACACACGATGAGGATATCGGACGAACGATCGGCAGGTTTTTGTTCGCCTGCTAGTCTCACATTGGAAGTGAAAAGGTTACTAAAAATACGAAAATTCTCCTATGAAAGAAAAGAATTTGGAAAGTGATGTCATGTATTACGTTGTATTTGTATTGTATTTTCAGACGACTACTGTACTGATTAAACGAAAATCGTACGATCTGGTATCGTACGAGAAAAATGTATGCGCTTGTCCCTTCGGATATTGTCGTACGAATTGCCGTGATCGGCTCTTGAAAGCTGTGTACTAACGATCCGATTATCGGATGATCGGTCCTTGTATGAAACTTTTCAGACGATTTTCTTTTAGCGTGAACGGGGCATTGGGTTCAGCAGCACAAACTATTTTACAGACGGGACGCGCCATTAAAACTGAACACATTTTTTGCATTGTACTGAACTCCTTCCCTTTTTTTTCCTTTTTGTTCCCCTTTAAGACCAACATGCCTGCGAAATATCACAAATATTTTAGATGACATTATAAATCCCGGTAGTATTTACATAGAATTTAACATTATGAAATCCTTGCCTCGCCTAGTTCAATGTTTGAACAAAATCATTTTGCTGCACCGCAGACACTCCCGCTGAAAAATGACTCCAGTGTTTCCACGAGCGACTGAAACAGGAGAGTTTTAACCATTTGCCGCCCGGCCTATAGCCGTTTGGCGGCCGCAAAAATGTTCTAGCTTTCCGGGGTGTACGCCATTTGGCGTCCTCCCGCACATGCGCAGTTCGCGCGGTTGCAGAGCCGCGCAGCGGCGCGATCTGTCACCGGCCGTGTACCTCGGACACGGCCGATGACAGATCTGAGTACCGGCCCCCGTTGCTGGTACCATGTGACCTGCTGTGACCAATCACAGCAGGTCACATGACAGTTGTATACAATGGATGGCTTCATTCATGCCATCCATTGTATACTAGTGTCTAGCTGTGAATGGTCACAGCAGGTCACATGCACATGTCATGTGATTAGCTGTGGCCAAATCACAGCTAAGCACAAAAAAAAAAAAAAAAAAAAACCCTGAATGAATCGGTTTCATTCAGGTAAATGCTTGCTTATAGCAAAGTAATTCTTTGCTATAAGCAATTTGTGTAAAAAAAAAAAAAAAAAAAACTGATCACTTCCCCAAATTAGTACAATGTTACTATGGTAACATTGTACTACTTTGGTCATAGTAAAATCTGAAAAAAAAATCTTAAAAAAAAAAAAAAATGTAATAAAAAATTAAAAATAATAATAAAAAAAAATATATAATTTTTTTTTTCATACTGTCACCAGTCTGTGTCCTTGATCACCGCCATGACAGTTATATGATGACGCTGTACTGCACTGGTGACAGTATGTAAAAAAAAAAAATAGTGAAAATAATTTTTTTAATTTTTTAATTTTCCGAAAAATTATGACAAAAAAAATACAACTTCAAAAAACTCGCCATTCCTCTTATGAAGTACGTCGGACTGTATACTCTGCAAAAAGGGGTCATTTGGGGGATATCTGTACTCTCCTGACATTTGGGGGATATCTGTACCGTCCTGACATTTGGGGGATATCTGTACTGTCCTGACATTTGGGGGTTATCTGTACTGTCCTGACATTTGGGGTACTGTCCTGATATCTGTACTGTTCTGACATTTGGGGGTTATCTGTACTGTCCTGATATTTGGGG